ATCTTAGACTCATTGTTTCTCTCCCCACCCCCATATGATCTTGGTTTTGATAATTAATCCAAATCAATTAAAAATGCAACTGGCCTTGGTAAGAAAGCAACATGGTTGCACTGAAAGTATTATACAAAATAACTCATTTCATTGAAATATATCTAATTATGTACAATTAGAAAATGTCGATGATGTGTTCTCTTTGCTCAAAGGGCCAAATGTGGTCTTCTTTCTCTTTGGGAAAACGATTATGTAGTTCTATTGAAGAACCTGCTGAGGCTTTGTTTCAAGGTTTCCTCAGGTGTGTGTCACGTTCCCGCTAAGTAGCCGTCCCTGTTGGTAGATCCAGTGTGTGAAGGATGGGAAGGCTCATATCCTTACAGAGGAAAAACATAGTCTCCATTGGAAAGGAAAAACATGAGGGCCCAAGACGTGCACGACTTTTATGCCCCGCTCTCTGCAAGGCAAAGAAATTGGCTTCTCCTTGAGATAACGCAGAGAGAGGGCAGAGGAAGAACAGGGCTTAAGGACTTTGGGTGTGTATGTGTGGGTTCACGGATTGTAACAAAGGTACCACTCTAGTGGGGGATGTTGTAATGGGCAAGAATGTGCCTGTGGGGGTGGGGGTAAGAGCTATCTAGGAAATCTCTGTACCTTCCTCTCTATTTTGCTGGAAACCTAAAACTGCTCCTAAATAAAGTCTTTTTAAAAAGAATAGGGACACTAAGTACAACTGCAAACTTCTCTCTAATAAACTGTAAATAAGGAGTTAAGTTCTGGAAGCTAGATAGCTATGTACAAGGCCAAGTGCTATAAACAGCTATACAAAAGGAAGAATTAAAGGTTTAAAAACAAATAAAATATAAAACAGCAAAGTTAGATTAAACAGATAAATAATGCTACCAAGTTTGGATACTCCCTAAATTCCAACCCAAATTTTTTATTATCCTTGCTCCTTTGAACAATGATTATTTTAAAAAGAAAAAGTAACTTTACAGTGGAAATAACTGACAGACACCACTTTATCCAAGTGACATCCCCAGGAAGAAAACAGTGACATAATACCCCTGACAGGAGGCACTGACAGGGCACATCACCTCCGTACCTACCTGCCAAAATGCATAACCTCAACCTAATTGTAAGAAAACAGGCCAGCCCTAGCTCAAAGAGCAGCCCCACAGAATGTCCAGCAGTCTTCAAAAGAGCCACAGTCATGAAAGACAAGGAAAGACAAGAAACTGTCATAGATTTAAGGAGGATGCAATGTGGGATACTGGGTTTGAGAGGAAACTGAACATGAATGGGAAAAGTGATGAAATCTGAGTGGTCTGTAGTTTATTTGATCAGATTGTGCCAGTGTTAATTTCTTAGTTTTGATAACTACTATGGTTATGCAAGATGTGAGTGTTAGGGAAGCAGGGTGAAGGTTACACAGGAACTCTATTTTTATGACCCTTTATAAATCTAGAATGCTTTCCAAAAAAAATTTTAAGTATGAAACTTTTATCATTATTATTATTATTAGAGCTTTAAGGACAGGTACTATTTGCATTTCTGCTTTACAAAAATATATGAATATGTATTGCTCCAAATATGTATTAATAGAAGCATGTGCAAATACTCTTTCAGCCTACCTATAACTAGAGCCATAGGTGGCACAACGAAGACCTGCTAACCACACCCAAATGTTGACAAAGGACTCCACTTGCTGGCCTTGCAAACCCCAATGACAAAAAGAAAGATGTTTTCTTTTTTTTTCTAATTTTTATAAAATTTATTGGGGTGACATTGGTTACTAAAATTATATAGGTTTCAAGTGTACAATTCTATAATACATCATCTATATAGTGCATTGTGTGTTCACCACCCAAATTGAGTTCTCCTTCCATCATCATATATTTGACCCCCTTTAACCCTCTTCTACCTCCCTCCTGCCCCTCTTACCCTCTGGTAACCACTAAACTGTTGTCTGTGTCTAGGAGTTTTTGTTTGTTTTGTTTGTCTTGTTCGTTTGTTGCTTTCAGTTTTGTACCTCTATGTTCATTGCAGCATTATTCATGATGGCCAAGACATGGAAACAACCAAACTGTCTTTTGATAGATGATTGGATAAAGAAGATGTGTTACATATATACAATGGAATATTACTCAGCCATAAGAAAGATAAAATACTGCCATTTCAGACAACATGGATGGATCTGGAGATTATCATGCTAAACGAAATAAGTCAAACAAGAAAAAGTCGAGAATCATATGACTTCACTCATTTGTGAGAGATGTTTTTAAAAAGGAACAACCGTATCAAGCTATGGGAAGCTGTGCGCCTAAGGAAATTTATCCCAGAGGGACTGACTCTGTATACAAATCATCATTTCATGCAATTCCTATAGATTCTTCACTTATAGAATAAAGAAACGAACAAAGAACAAAATGAAAGCTTTCTTTACAGAATAAAGAAAAATTAGGCTCTAGAGAGAAAATAGCCATCCATGGCACCTTGCAAAGATCTTCTCCATGGTTCTGATAATTAATCTTCCCTAGCCCTGTGACTCAGTTAATCTCTTTTGGAAAGAGTGTGAACATATTCCTGTACAATGAATAAGGTTCAGCTCATTAACATATGCATTCACTCCATCTATGAGGAGTGAATCCATTAAAACTCAGGAGTGTGGCCTGGCTTCCAGGCATAAGAGCCTAACAGAATTCCTGATTGAAGTTCAAAAACAAGTCTTGCCCTGTATCTGCCCCAAAGTTCATTCTCAAGATTAATTACATATTTGTTAAGCCCTGTTTCAGCTCATATTGCATGAAAAAAGTACTTGTTTAAAGGATTGATCCGAGCTAACAACTATAAAGCATTATATGTTGTACAAACAAATGTGACTATTAGTTTTATTATCCCTCTTATGATGTACTATGTAATATAATTTTTAAAAAACCTTGCCTTTGCATTTAAAAAATCTGACCATTTTTATTTAATCAGTGGACAACATTTTCTATCTTTATATGACTTTATAACCTTGCAAAGTAAATAATTACTTTATATTGTTCTATTAAAAAACCTACAGTGAAGTTATATATCCTTTTTCCACTGTCACCAAAGTAACTTTTTTTCCCCCCAAATAAAGGTGGGGGGGTGCGGGGAAGAAGGAAACATTTTATAACATAAACTTAAATCTGCAAATTTCCTTTGGGGTCAGGAATATTCTCCTGTGGGGGAATCCTTCTTTTATTATTACTTTTTTAATCACTTCAACACAAGCAGATGGCTTTGGGGTGGGTAGGAGGGGACACTCAAAGACTCACAAAGCAATCGCCATGAATGCTGCACTCAGCTGCATGGCCGTGGCATTCACAGGGTTGACAAATTCCTCCAAACAGTATCCCATCCACGCGGTAATAGCCAGAGAGGCAGGACTGCAAAAGAAGAATGGGCAACCCATGCTGCTGAAGGCAACTTTGTACATGACACAAATTATCTTCTTCGCAATACATGAGAAACATAAGCTGCTCAGTTTTCCATGAACAGAGAAACTTCTTTCTTTTTTCCCCAAACATCTTTATCAAGATATCATTTACATGCCATAAAATGCACCTATTTTTAAGAGTACAAGTTAATGACTTTTTAGTACACTTACCGAGTTGTGCAACCAACACTGTACTCTAGTTCCATATTTCTTTTTTTTTTTTTAAAGATTTTTATTGGGGAATTTGGGGGATGGGAACAGTGCTGGGGAATTGGGGGAAGGGGAACAGACAAGTTGCTGTCGTTTTGTTCTTCAGTCTAGTTGTGGAGGACGTTGCTTCACTGGCCCAAGTTGGCACCATCATTGCGCTCTTCCCGGGTGAGGCAGATCAGTCGCCGGCTTCTGGACGGCCGCTCACTGCGGCTGCTGGCTACACACGGTAGCCCATGGCAACCCACTGCCACAGGGGCTGCAGCCTACGCCATCGCCGGCGACTCACGGCAGCCCAGCTCCAGGTTGAGCTGTTGTTCAGCATCTTAGCTGTGGAGGGCAGTGTCACTGGCCCTCATATGTGGGATCCAAACCGGGGCCCTCTGGCATCCCAAGCCAGTTCTTAACCATCGTGCCACTCGGCCGGGCCCCATATTTCTTTTTAAAGGTAGGGACAGGCACACAAAAACATAATGAGTCAGCATACACCTTAGCGGTATTCCACTGCAATGTTCTTTGAAATCATGTAACACTAGGACATTTAACCAGTGTTTCAATAAAGAGGATTTTCTTTCTCAACCTTATTTTTTTTCTCTTGCTTAAAATTCATGAAATGTTGCTGCCAAAGTGTTCAACTGCAGATCTTTAAGTTCAGTTTAACTGAGCAAACACTGTAGGTGTGCTGTCTGGGGTCTAAGTGCTGGACAGGTAGGTGGGCATTGAGGATGCCACTCCCTGCTCTGAGGAGTAGGGGACCGCTCCAGAAACAGAAATTCATTCAATCCTCATGACAACTCTGAGAAATCTTACCTCTATTTTATAGATATGGAATCTGGAACACGGGGCAGTTAGATAATGTGCCCATTGTGCTAGTGGAATGGTTCAAAGGCAGGTGTGCACAACCGCCAGGACCCATATCCACAGGCTGCCCAGGGCTGCAGCAGACATGAGACATGTTTATACTGTAGACCAGGATATGACTAATTTGGAAGCCAGTACAGTCCCATGGGAGCATGGGAGGAGGGGTTGTGGATTTGGTTTTTATTATTATAAGGATTCTTGAAGAGCATTTTTATTATATGGATAATATATAAATGCATTCATTCACACTGACCTTGGGAAAGTACCCTAACACCTCCATGCAGCCATGCTCTCCTTGGGGACAGTTACCTTGTCTACAGATGGGCATTGAGCAGGCAGCTGCCTAGAGACCTGTGTGGTGGCTAAAGTGCTACCCAAAACTCCATTTATTACCAATAATTTAGTGATTCTTTAAGTCAACTTCTGAATAAGAGTGTGATTAAATAACGAGTTCTTCTGCTAAACAGAACACTTGAAAACGTGTATGAAGCTTCTTGTGCTTACGTGAGTCATCATCCCTGCACATCTGCACAGTTCCCTCCAAAGCGCAGTAACTTGTTTTCCAACAGCAGCTGCTCACTGCTGCCCCTGCTGGTACAGCTCTCCAGCCTTCTACTTTGATGATTCCACCCACCTGCCAGCTCTAGGCTGTCCTATTCCTATATCCCACACTATGAAGTGACCTGAGGGTCGTTTATCCACTAAGCATTATACACTCAGAGATTACGACCTACAGACATTAGCTGGGCCTAAAAATAAATTTTTGAGATCCAAACAAACGGTCACTGGTTCTAAAAAAACCCACAAAATATTTAACACAGAAATATTTAACTATATATATATATATATATATATACACACACCATGAAGCACTAGGCCAACGTTATTATAAGCAAAACTTATAATTGATAAAGGCTCATAAAAGCAAATTCTAGGTTAAGTACTTACTTTGTAAAAATAATTGCCAAGAAATCATAGCCAATGACAAATGTATACAATCATAGTAAATCCTGAACAATGAGAGGCAGAATGGAGGGGTGGGTAAAGGAGGGATAAAGTTTAAATCCTGATTTGATTATTTCTTAGCTGTGTGACCTTAAAAGAAAGCAACAAAATCTAGAAACTCAACAATGCAACAATGTTCATCAAACAATATTCACCATGCAACCAAAAACTAATGAATATGCTCCCGCTGGCCAAATCTGAGAAAATCGGGAATCCATGAGTCCCGATGGAAAACAAGTAGGTAAGTAAATAAATGTATGGGCAGAAGGGAGGGTTCTTGCTTTCAGTGGAATGCTGTGTGCCAACCCATAAGCATGGGGGAAGGGCTGGAGTTGGATAACCATTCTTTTGCAAACATCATAGTAAGTATTGTTTGGGCAAGAATCTTCAATGACTGCAAAATCTAAGGGGGAATTCTCATGAGGAATTGGATACTTGCATGGTTCTAAAATGTCTCCCTCAGACTGCTTATTAATTACAAAATGAAAGCATAGCAAATATAATATATAGTGGCCTGCGTAATCAGGATTAACACCACCAGTAAGGGGCAGTGGACACTGTGGACTCAACATGCCATGCGC